TTTTTTACAAGGTATCATTGGCCCAAGGGCTACCATTTATACTAAAATAAATGTTGGGACCCTGAAACAAGAGGAAATAATCAGGAAAACAAAACCAAAAGTACTGGTTGCTAAAAAATCTTCTTTTCCAGAACAACCAGACAGATTTTCACCAAACTTACATACAAAGATCAGGATATGTTGAAGATTGAAAATCGACATGACCCTGGGGCAAAGGGCGGGGTCTCAAGGTCACTTCAAAGTTGACCTTAATTTTCAATTAATAAAAATGTTTATGTTTTGCTTACTATAAGGACTAGGATCATCAAATCTTGTAAGTTGATGCATCTAAGGACTTCACATCATGTTAACTCAAAAGTAGGTCACGGTGACCTACTTTTTAATTTTGCAGGCATTTGTTTTCAAACCGAATTGAAGGCATATTTTGGACACTTTATGGCCTTTGATCATCAAACTATGTCAGTTGATGTATCTTTGTACCTTGAACAACGTCAACTTAAAAGTAGGTCACCGTGACCTGCTTTTTGGACTTTATGACTTATCCTTTTTAAAACATTTAATCCCATTATTTCAGACACTGAGAGGGTTAGAACCATCAAATCTTGTAAGTTGCTGCATCTTGGGACCTTAAAACATATTTATGAAAAAGTAGGTCACTTTGATCTAAATTGTTTAAAAGGCATATTTTAATTACCTTCAGACCTACAATCATCAAACTTGGTCAGCAGATGCATCTTGGGACTCTGAAATGTCGACCAAAATGTAGGTAACGGTGACCTACTTTCGGCATTTTATGGCTATATTTGAGTATCCACGGTACTTATTGGCTTAAAATCATCAAACTTTATGAGTTGATGCATCTTCGGTTTTCGGAGAGTGACAACCAAAAATTAGGTCACGGTGACCTACTTTTGACATTTTATGGCTATATTTACAGTACCGACCGGACACAACCTAACAGAAAGCGAACCCGGAGCGGACCCCGGGTTTGCTCTCTGGGTCCGCTCCGGGTTCGCTCGGGGTCCGCTAGGGCTGACCCCGAGCGACCCCGGAGCGGACCCAAAGCGGACCCGTAGCGGACCCCGAGCGAACCCGAAGCGGACCCCGGGAGCGAGCCCCAAATTCAGTAGCGGTCCCAGAGAGCGAACGCGGGTTCGGTATTTCTTTACAGAGCTGACAATCAGGATTAGCGATTAACCAACCAGCGCATCAACCAATCAAAATAGAGTATTGATCTGTCGATTGGGATATAAGATCGAACGTGTTGATCTTATCGGATATAAACCCAAACACTGTACATACAGAAAAAACGTGTGAATGTGCTGTGTAAATCTATCAGGATAATTAAAATATTATTTAATATTTATTTATTTTAATCATCCGGGTTGTATTTTACATGTTTTAATTTTCCACGTAAAATTATATATGAACATTTACGTACGTCTTTTATTTTCTGTAGTTTTTTTAACCAGTATTTAAAGTCCGTTCGATAAATAAATTGGGTAAATTCATCAGTCAATGCATAAAAATGGAATTCAATTGATATTACAATTAAAGGAGGAAAGAAACGTAGTTGGTCTTCGACAATTATTGTAAAATTTCATCATCTCAAGATACTATCAGTTTAGGAATATTAACGGAGAGAAACGGAAGAGAGAGAATAACTGTAAACTCTCACCATTAGACTTGATTATAATTATAAATTCCGATGACTTTTATTTAAATTTATACGAGTCGTCCTCCCAATACTGTACTCAAATTGTTTTCTATAAGCCTGCTGCAGCTATTTTTTTTTTCAATAAATATACATGTACAGGAAGATGTATATAAAGAACAAAAAACACCAACAGTTTTCGGGGCGCCCTGACCCTTCTTTGGTACAAAGAACAAAGTTTAAAACTCATAAGAACAAAGGAAAAAGAGAAACCAAAAACAATTAGCAAAACTATTAAACTACTAAACACTATATATTTACATAGTAACATGTCGAATTGGAATTTATTTAAACACTATAAGGAAAGAAATTCGGTCTGCTACGTCTGGTTTATCGGGGTATACTCATGTGAAGTGCGATTTACATCATTGAACGAATTATTTACGCTAATTAATCACGAAATTTAGTAAATCGTACATTGTATCATTCTCTCAAAATTGCGTACATTTTATCTATACTTCACAAAGAATAATCAGTCTGGAGAAATATAATATAGACATATGAATTATGATCAATTATAGATTTTGAAATGTTTGAGGACTAAATATAGGGAAAAATAATTAATAAAGGCGTAAGCGATACAAAGTTATGTTGGTTGTTCGAGAGTTAGTAACGCAGACTAACTGTAGATTTTAGGGTGGAATGACTTCAATCTGTGCATCCAGAAGGAAGATTTTCATATAAACGCATTTTTTTCATGCCCAAGAAGATCAAGAAGATTAAGAAGATCAATAATTCTGACGTTATTTTTTAATAATTTAATATAACAAATAAATTGAGAAATCATAAATAAAACTAGAGCCGAGCTCGTTGTAATGTTTATACTCTAAATTAAATCTGTCAATCTATAATTAACAATTAGAGTGCCAGCATCAGAATGTTTATTTCCAATCAAGCACTGCTCTCTGACATTATCAGTTCTCACGATAAAGTTCCTCTCCCTAATTTCATCTGTTGTCAATCATTATAATATGCATGGGGATATGTTCAGTCTGATGGTCACTTAATAAATAGTTAGTAAACTAGACAGACGTGTTCTTTTACCTCTCTCTCACAACATTACAATGGCGACGAGGATTCTGTGAATAATCTTTTGGATATATACTAGTTCTACTGTGTAGTACACTTGTAGCAAAAGTTTATCCAAAATGTCAGCATTACCAAACTTTCCACCATTTTCTGTGCATGAAAATGCAACGGACATACGCTGGAAGAAATGGAAGTTGAGACTGGACAATCTCATTCTTGCGATGGGAATAAAGAACGACAAAGCCAGACAGAGAGCCCTGCTACTTCACTATGCTGGAGAGGAGGTAAATGAGATTTTCGAGACATTACCTAACACAGGTGATGATTACGACACGGCGGTAGCAAGGTTGACTGAATACTTCGCCCCAAAGAAGAACACTGAATTTGAAGTGTACAAATTCAGGCAAGCCAAGCAAGAACCCGGAGAAACGATTGACACTTTCCACACCAAGCTTAGACAATTGTCGCTAACTTGTGAATTCAACAACAATGACAAAGAAGTGAAATCACAGATAATTCAGGGATGCAGCTCAACAAGACTCAGAAGACGAGCACTGAGGGACGACATAAACCTAGAAGACTTACTTAAGCTGGCAAGATCACTTGAACTATCGGATAAACAGGCAAGCGAAATCGAGAAGACCGACAAAAATTCCGAGGAAGTGCATGCAATGAGGAAACGTCGCAATGCACCCAAATTTCTGGAAAGAAAACATGGTACTAAGGATCGAATGGACACACCCTCAAAGGAAAAATGCTTCAAATGTGGTGGACAGTTCCCCCATCTGAAAGGACCGTGTCCGGCAAAAGGTAAGACATGTAACGCATGTCACAAGATAGGCCATTTCGCATCCGTCTGCAGAACAAAGAGCAAATCAATGAATCGTAAACCCAGATCTGTGAAACAGCTAGAGGCATGTAATAGCGACACTGATTCAGAATCTTGCGAATACCTCTTTGGGTTGGATCAAATTAATTCCATTATTAGGAGACAACCCCGTATCAAAGTTGAAATCAACGGGATACCCGTAAGTGTTCTAGTCGACACAGGCTCAAGCATCAACGTTGTAGACGATTGTACATTAAGAAACTTGAAAACGAAGTGAAATTGCGGAAGGCTGATACCCGTGTGTTCGCGTATGGTTCTAAAACTACCCTTGATATTATGGGAAAATTCCAAGCAACGATCGAAAACAAAAACAAAATTGAGATTGCAGATGTCTATGTTGTCAAAGGGAACTCTGGTTCGTTACTTGGATATGATACGTGTGTTCAACTGCAAATTGTGCAGAAAATAGCATCTCTTAGTGATAACAAAATTGAAATTTTGTGTCAAAAGTACCCGAAAGTGTTCAATGGAATCGGAAAACTTAAACAGAAACAAGTTAGACTCCACGTCGACGAATCTGTAACGAGAAATTAGAGAAACTCGACATCATTGAAAAGGTTAATGGTCCCACACCATGGGTCTCTCCGATCGTCGTAGCTCCTAAACCTAAGAAACCTGGAGAAATTAGACTGTGTGTGGATATGAGAAAAGCCAACACAGCAATACAACGTGAACGCCATGTCACGCCAACCATTGATGACATGATTCTTGATCTCAATGGATCTAAAGTATTTTCCAAACTCGACCTGAATGCTGGGTATCATCAGCTGGAATTACACCCAGATTCTCGGAACATCACAACGTTCTCAACCCATGTTGGATTACGTCGATATAAACGACTAAGCTTTGGAATTTCTTCAGCAGCAGAAGTATTCCAGAACTCGCTTAGTACAGCACTTGAAGGTTTACAAGGGGTTAGAAACATCAGTGATGACATCATAGTGTTTGTAAAAAATTGCGAGGAGCATGACAAAAATCTAGAAGCAGTCTTTAAACGATTAGAAGAAAAACACCTCACATTAAACAAAGAAAAATGTGAATTCAACAAAACGCAAATTGAATTCTATGGATATGTATTCAGTTCAGAGGGAATTTCTGCAGACCCGCAGACCCGAGAAAAGTGGATGCGATAAAGAACTCTGAGATACCGTCAAATGCAAGTAAAGTCAGGAGCTTCCTAGGCATGACAAACTATGTAGGGAGATTTATTCCGAACTATTCAACAATTACTGCGCCATTACGAGAGCTAACCAAGCAAAATGTGAAGTTTGAGTGTCAACCTAATCAACAAAAAGCATTCGACATGTTGAAACGTGAACTTACAAGTGACAAAGTTATGGCATATTTTATCCGTCAAAAGAAACAACAATGATTGTTGATGCAAGTCCCGTAGGACTTGGTGCGTTATTAACACAAGAAGGCAAAGTCATATCGTACGGAAGTCGTGCGTTAAATGATGTGGAAACTCGATACTCACAAACTGAGCGCGAGGCACTGGCAGTTGTCTGGGGATGTGAGCATTTTCATCTGTATTTGTTTGGACAAGATTTCAAAGTCATTAGCGATCACAAACCATTGGAAGCGATTTTTAATAATCCGCACTCAAAGCCTCCTGCGAGAATAGAGAGATGGCGATTAAAACTGCAACCATATCATTTTAGGCTACAGTATCGTCCAGGGAAAACAAATGCAGCAGATTACATGTCCAGGCATCCGCCTAAATCAACACAGATTAACAGTCTGTCAGACATCGCTGAGGAATACGTTAATTACGTAACAGAGAATGCCGTACCAAAAACTTTGACCTTAGCCGAAATCAGTTATGAAACCCAAAAAGATCCTATCCTTCAACGAGTAATTGAAGCAATCATTTCCGAGAAAAAGATTCCAGAATCTAAAGTCCTCGATAAAACAATTGAAACTTTTAGACGAAGGCAAAATGAACTAACTTTGCACCGAGACGGAAACCACAGCGTTCTACTCATCGAAAACAGGTTGGTCATTCCTAGACCATTACAACAAACGGTTATCAAATTAGCGCATGAAGGTCATCAGGGGATAGTCCGTACTAAACAGCTACTCAGAGAAAAGGTTTGGTTTGTCAACATAGATAAGCAAGTAGAAGAATTCTGTAAAGGATGCATTCCCTGTCAAGCATCAGTACCAGGACAAAAGTACACACCATTGAAGATGTCACCCCTACCCAACCGACCGTGGTCTGAGGTCAGCATGGATTTCTGTGGACCATTTCCGTCCGGATACTACCTAATGGTCGTTATCGATGACTACTCCAGATACCCTGTTGTCGAAAGTCTATCAAAATTAACAGCAAAGGCTGTCATACCGAAACTTGACAACGTTTTCGCCTTATTTGGAATTCCAGATGTAGTCAAAACCGACAATGGACCTCCGTTTAACGGATCACTCTTCAAGGAGTTCGCAAAACATCTAGGATTTCAACATAGAAAGATTACACCGTTATGGCCACAAGCAAATGGAGAAGCGGAACGATTCATGAAGACCATTGGAAAAGCGATTCGAGCCGCAGATGCAGAACACAGAAGCTGGAAACAAGAGTTATACAGTTTTTTGCGCAACTATAGGGCGACGCCACATGCAACAACAAGCGCAACACCCGCGGAATTACTACTAGGGAGAAAATTAAAAACAAGAATTCCCGAGATTATTCCATCATTCAAAAACACGGAAATATCACGTAAAGATAAAAAAGAAAAAGAAAAAATGAAGAGGTATGCAGACATTAAAAGAGGAGCACTGGATCATAAGTTGCAGCCGGGAGACAAAGTTCTTGTAAAACAACAAAAACAGGACAAACTATCAACTCCATACAGTCCCGAGCCGTACGAAGTAATTAAACAAGAAGGCTCTATGATAACCGCTAAGAATGATAACAAAGAAGTCACCAGAAACGCATCATTCTTCAAGAAAATTAAAGAAAACGAAAGGTCATCCGAGGTACCAGACGATTCGAGTGATGAATTAATTACTGCACAGCCGGAGCCTAGACGTTCAACTCGCGAGCGCAGACCACCAGCGCATTTGAAAGATTACGTGTGCGCATAGTGTGTGATTTGTAATGGGGCATAATAATCCCCAAATTATAATTATATAGTGATTTTGTACATAACATTATTAATTATGCATGAATATGTTGTCTTAAAAAGTCCGAGGAAAGAGACACCATGTTGAACGGACATTTAGAAAATTACTGACAATTCTCAAAATGAATCCCACATGAACTTTGATAAGTGTAAACGTTAATTAGAATTATTTCAATGTACATGCTTTCAATTAAAGAAAGGGAGGGATGTAATGTTTATACTCTAAATTAAATCTGTCAATCTATAATTAACAATTAGAGTGCCAGCATCAGAATGTTTATTTTCAATCAAGCACTGCTCTCTGACATTATCAGTTCTCACGATAAAGTTCCTCTCCCTAATTTCATCTGTTGTCAATCATTATAATATGCATGGGAATATGTTCAGTCTGATGGTCACTTAATAAATAGTTAGTAAACTAGACAGACGTGTTCTTTTACCTCTCTCTCACAACATTACACTCGTTGCAAAGCAACGAATAGGTCTTCCGTTGGAGCTGCGGATAAGAAGACGTAACCTTGAGTCTAGGTCAAGCCACATTCTAAAGTTCTACAAGTGAAAATTTAAACCTTTTAAGAGAAGCAACTTGCAATGTTTAGCTAGGAAAAAGACTGTAAATGAATATATGTGACCTTGAACTTTCCAAGTGACCTTGAACTCTCCAAATGACCTTGATCTAAGCAATGACTAGCTCTCGTTATAAAAATATTATCCATGTGTTACCGTCTGGAAAATTTCAAACATTTTATTTAGATATTCTTTCTGTTCATGTATCCAACCAAAAACATCTTATTCTTGGGGACTTTGAACTCGAGTCAAGGTCACGTCCCACCCTGCATTATATCAGCAATGTTTCAATAATAGAAAAATGGTAGCGAATTAACAGTTTTACTGTCACTAATCTTGACTCGTCCAAATGACTGGATATGTTCAGCCATGAGTTTTTTTCTGACTATAATCGAGGCAAAATGATTCATTGGGTTCAACACAATGTCGAGACTATAGCTCTATTTGTTTGTACTTATAACAAAGGAAGAGAAAACTAGCCATTGCCATCAGACCAAAACTGTAGAAGGAGTAGCGTTTTAAAGGAATTTCACATAAATTTCTATTTTTGTAATCATGACAACACCGTTCATCGAAATCAAAAACGATGCACTTAATTATGTATCACATTGAAGTCTACTTGTGTGTCCAGTTATATTGAAATCAAACTAAAACTGTAGGAGGAGTAGCATTTTTAAGGAATTATATACAGAAATTTCTATTTTTAGTAACCATGGCAACACCGTTCATCGAAATCAAAAACGGATACACGATATATTGTATCTTAGTGAAGGCTACTTATGTGCCAAGCAATATTGAATTCAAACAAAAACTGTTGAAGACGTCGCATTTTAAAGCATTCAAAAACCGATGCACTATACTACATGTATGTATCTTAGAGATGTGTACTTTGTGCCAAGTTATATTGAAATCAGACCAAAACGGTATGAAGAGTAGTATTTTGAAAAATAGACAGACAGACAGCTAGACAGACGAACGGACGGCAGACACTTTACTATCGCATTCCTAAGACAGGTGGGACAGATATTTATATATAGAAAATAACCAAATTAAATAAAGACAACATTTTTAAAGCATTAAAAATCGTAGCAAAAAAGAAGATATCAATGGATGCGAAACTTTTCAGACAAGGGAAGAGATATGAACCTCTCATAAATACGGTACACATGTATCAGATCACTGCACGTCGGTAATCTAAAATGACACATGTTATTTTTTTCCTTGTATAACTTAACCCCCCCCCACCCCCGTAATTTCTTTAAAAATGTTTGTACAATTAAGAAAATCGGTTACTTTTCATATAGACTACGACGTTTCTTTCATTTTCAAGAACCGTATATTAGCGAGTGCAGCGAGCTCAATAGAATAACGTGTAAGAAAAGAAGTACGGAATTGTACACACGTCAAGCAAATTTTGTTGTGCAACATTCCCAGAGCTCCTTTACTACCCAATGTCCTTTGCGCGAATAAATAAACAAATAATAAAACACGTAACAGCTTTTTAAAAAGCTTGGCTGACTATGTCATCAATATCTATAGAATCTATGAGCATGATGAACTATAAACGTTTACATTGGGGGGGGGGGGGTAAATTATTTCACTGGAGTAAATTATGGAGATGTTGCACAAAACATAAACCATATATATAATACTGTTTGTATCTTAAATAATAAATGGAATCATGATCATGTCCCGCTGTAGATTCGAACCCGGGACGAAAAGATGAATACCTCTGTCTGCAAGTCTAAAATGGTTTTAGAGGATGACGTAAATAAGGAAAAACATTTGATTAATGCTTGAAAGCATGGCTACATATATAGGTGGCAGCTGAAAATATGATAACTACAAGAAATTGGGGATCTAACAATTATGACTGACGAGTAGAATATAATTGATAGTTTCTTGGGTATGCCAAAGTATCAAAGATTGTTGGAAACGTGGGAAAAATAATTAAAGCTTTAAATGACCCAACAAACTTGACGGCGATATATGAATGCCATGGTGCAGATTCAGGAAGTTTTTCCCAGAGATGAGGGGTCAACATAAAATGTTTTATTACTTTAAATGATGTAACTTCTAATTCACTTCACAATGTCACCGAATTGTTTGTTTGTTTTTTTTTCCAAAGCTCGACCAGGATTCTGACAAAAAAGAACAGACTTTACATAATTCATGCAGTTTTCATTTTCATTCAATAGAATAGCCAATAAAAAGGGTGCAAAAACCTACACGTGACATTTTGGCGCGAAATAATAGCGTCACCCCTTACCTAGAAGACAAATGGACTAATCCAGTAGTATAGAAACGCAGAAAAAAAGGTCAAACGGACAAATATCCGTATAAGAACTCGCATGAAATTAATAAATGCTAGCAAAAGGCTAGAGAAAATAAATACTTCAATGTATTGTATTAGCAATAAATTTATTTTTCTGCTAACAGAATAGATAACTGTTGTTGCTGAAATGCATGTAACAAATCCGATGATAATCAGCATGCACAAAATTTTGCTGGCTTACTCTAAAGTCTTCTATCGTACATATGTACAAGCGTACTCTGTTTAGTAGGACCAGTTTTTTTCAGTGGGTGGCTCAGTACAACTCTCCTGTCTGTTTTTTTTCTGCAGCTAGCTGTGTATGAAGTTTGATTATTTTTAAAAATATCTTGGTTAGTTTGTTTGAAACTCAGCTTTGAACTTAGCTAAAGGCAAAGTGTGACGGAAGGAGATAAGGCAGGATGGAAGACGTCCGACATGACAAACATTATATCTCAAGCCATATTCATGGCGGGGCATAGAATGATTATTGGTTTACATAAAAAAAAAATAGGCTGTGACTTTCTTTCGGAATTCAACACCAGCCTTAATCTACATGTATATACGCTTGTACAAAAACAAATCAACCAACTAACATTCTTGGCTCAGAAGGAAGACATTGTATATTCATTTTAAACATGTTTAAGGGGGGGGGGGTACTTATAGTGATGAGAGGTAATTTAACCACGTGTTGGTCCATGAAACATGAAAGATTATTTTTGGAATGTTTGTATACAACAGCGTGGCTTTCTTTGAACTAAATTAGAATTTATTGAAATATTTAAAAATAATTCTTTCAGGGACGCTGTGATATATTTGGTAGTCTCTGTTATAACTGTTCGGATATAGCACTGGCTTTTAGATAGCTTAGAAAAAAATTGAGGTGTCTGAAAAAAAAATACACATAATTTTTTTTAAGCGATCTAAAGGCCTGTAGGATATAGTGTCTTTTGAAGGTACAACACCTTTCTTTTAATATTACCAAAGGATTTGCTGATCCTTTTTTTTTTTCGTATAGTCGAAATGCATGGAAGAAGGAAAAAAACGTATGTGGATTAATCAAATACAAATTGATGCGTTGTGTTTTTAATCTAAATAGACAAGTTTTTTTTGTTCTCGTTTTCCTTTTTTTTTAAATGCCGTTAGCTTTGTTTAAAAACTTTTTCCTACGCGTTACCAATTTGAGAAGAGAAAAAAAGACGTCCTCAAACAATTTATTTCTAATGATGAAAACACCGAATGACGATGAGGATAATTAAGGTGAAATTATTTACTGAGACCCTAGTATCTACATTTCATGTCACAGGTGAAATTATTTACTGAGACCCTAGTATCTACATTTCATGTCACAAACAGTAACAATGACTGACCGGGAGGACGTTTGGTAAAGAATTAAAATTGATGTTTTATCGTCGAGATACTGGTTAATGATAAATAGCATTAACGAATTTTCATTTTTTTAAAAATCGTATTCTTAAACTCTGGATGTATATATTTTGGCTGTTATTCTAGGCAAAAGTGCATCCATGTGTATTTATACTGACATCGACAGAACATGTACAAGCATGTCAAATCGTGCAATGTTGAGATATTCTGTTTATTCAACGAAAAAGTATATTATTTTTGTACAATAACATTTTAAAGTTTAGAAGCAAATAACTGCATACTCAAAAGTGCTTAATTTAACGTTGGATGTTTTCCCGTGAATTAGAAACGTCACCTCCACTTACAACTACCATGCATGCGTACATGTAAGTTTAATATTCATAAAACAATATCCACCTCGATAAAAACAGGGGGGGGGGCTAGTGTTTATTCGGCTATCAAAATACATAAAACTTACAATGAATAAATGTACAAGCGATTACGATTGATTTAAACAAGCTGAAATAGAGTGAAATGAAATGATATGAAAGAGACGACATATTTTAAACCCAATTTTCCATTTGTAACTATCGCAGTACACAATGGATTTTCATATATGCCCGCTGTTCTCTGCAACCACGTGCTTGTAAACGAGGACCGGGCAACATAACTTTAGAGACAAAGTTGGATATAACCTGTTTGCTATACCGGTATTACAA